AGAGATGCCGAAGTGGCCCTTACATAAGAAACACATAAAGGAAAAATACAAGCAGCATGGGTCTATGGTGGCACAGTATTCATGGAAACTACAACCTCCTCATCCCAAGGAGATAAGCTATCAGTGGGGAACACTGAACCCGTTACGTATGATAAGGAAGCCATCCCTAAGGTCACTGTGCAAGTCCACCAATCTGCAGCCTCAGGCCAAGGCAAATGCGATGTCAAGAAGGCACGGAAGAGCAGAGAGGATGAAGGCCAGGATGGGTCCCCAAGGAAGGAAGGGAGGAACCCAGGAAAGTTTTAGAGCTAATGACTGTGCAAATTCTATTACTAGGTGAACCTTGATCAGGTTACCTCAGGCACCAAATGCAAGAGAATGGAAAACTCAGGGAAAACCATTGCAAGAAAAACAAGTTAATGTCACATGGGGAATGTCACTGGGAACTATCTCAGTTCCCCAAAACCCCATGTCAGAAGATGACACACATAAAAATAGCCATTGATTGGATTTTAATGAGTCAACCCAGCATTCCTGTAAGGCCTGGCACCAAAAAGTAACCCCAAATTCCCTGCTCTACTCACACCATGGGAAAATCCACTGTTTTGATAGATCGTATTGCTGTTTTTTGACTTAATCCCCATATTTTTCTGTGTGGAAAATCTGCACAGTGAGCAAATACTATAATGTCAGCTTTCCTTGTTGTCGTTGGCACCCCGGCAGCAGTGTCTGGCTGGGTTTCAGTAATGACAGGGATCCCTTCACATTTTCCTCGTTACTCATGAGCGCCAGGGCCTGGCTGGCCTTGGCCCCTCCTGGAGCCTCCCCGGCTTTCCTGTCTTTGGCGTATTTGTCCCAGTAGCATCTCCCTTGGACTTCACTCGACGCGCAGACCTGGGAACGTCTGGGAAAGTGTGAAAGAGGAACGTTGCTGGAGAAAGTGAGGACAGAACATTTGTGCACCGGATCAGACCCTGCACACACATCACGTTGTTCATATGCCTAATGACTCTGCAACGTCGATGGTACTCCCATTTTGCAGAGGAGTTCCCTGAAACTTGGAGAGTTTGAATACTCTGCCAGTGGCCAACCAGCTAGTGAAGAAGGCGGAACTGGAACGTGACACATCCACATTCACTGACTCCAGAGTCAGAAGCCGGGAAAGCGCTCCTCACAGCCGACACCAGTGGCCTGTCCTCAGGCAGCAACCATTCTCCTCATCAGAGAAACAGAAAATGATTTTCCTCGTTTGTTTTGTTCTTGGTTTTTTTAGAAGATGTTGTATCTGGAGCAATTTTGCTTTCAGATAAAATTTGTACCGTTCTATAATATACACACAAAAAGAGTCCAAATTATAAATTTCAAATTATCGATCTCAGAGTATTTTCAGAAAGTGAACATATGTGTAACCAGTGTTACACAAATGGGCCATTTTATTTATTTAGTTTATTTTTTTTTTCTTCAGGAGTTTCCGAAATTTTCTGTGGTTTTTCTAGCTATTGACTATTAACGGAATTTTTTATTAGAGGATGTCTCTTCAGAGGGAGACTAATTCCCAATTTTCATCATGAAGGAATGTGGCCCGTTCACATCTGGCACCAACCAAAAACTAGCCATTGCATAACATGGGGGGATTTTATACCTCTGTCTGAAGCAACTGTCTTCTTTCTTCACCGGCCAAAAAGACACTGGCTCACAACTTGTGTGGCAGCCCTGAACATATATGCCTGTGTTTGGAATTAAAGGAATTATCTGCTTTTAGAAAATTCTGTAAAGGACTTTTTAACTTTCCTCGATTGCTCTCCCAGCCGAAATCTGCCAGTTACCTCTGGCAGGACCACGTGGTGGCCGCGGAGCCGAAGCTAGAGGACGGGCAGCGGCGAGCTGTGGTGCTCACCTGATGTGGCTGCACTCCGATGGAAACCCAGTGGTGTCCCACTGCAGGATGAAAGCAAGGGGTTTCTGTGAGGGAGAGAAAGGGGGGCAATTACACGAGTTGCAGGGGAAAAAGTGCTGTGGTTGCGAGCACGCTATGCTCCTCTGTTCCCTACTGATCGACGACTGAGTCTACTGCAGAGTCCACAAGCGTTGTCCTGTGGGCAGGACGTCTGCTCTCGCGCTGCCTTCTCGACTTCGCTGAGGACAGTTGCTGTGCTGCACAGTCCAGAGGTTCCGGCGCAGCTGACCCAAGGATGGGCCAGGCGGCTTCTGCGCCATGGCCGCTCGGACTCTACAGTGGCCGCGGTCCTATCCACTCCCCATCAGTGCCTGGAGCAGAACAGGTGCCAGAGGAATAGCTGATGAAGGAATCCATGAGTGCACGACATCTCCATTCATCCAATCTCAAAATATTCCATTTACTTAACAGTTATTAACCTTTAGGTCAGCAGACAGTGTCCCTCTGCTCGGCTTCCCACTCCCTGCCACCTCGAATCCATTTCTAGGTCCTGCCACCGCGCCTCCTACTTATCCCGTGAATCTCATGGCTTCTTTCTCTCGTAACCCCGTCCGTACACTTGTCATTTTATGCCCAGAGCTTGAACCCTCATCTAATTGGTCTTTTAAGTCCATTCTCTATGCAAGAGTCATTGTTGTCAGAAAGCTCCTACATTCTCCTTTTTACAGAGTATCCCCGTTCTCAAAAATTAATGCAAAAACTAAAAGGGGCTACCTCAGAATCAGGGAATTACAAATGATTTTAACTTCCTTCTTGGTAAATTGTTGTATTTTCCAAATTTTCGACAATAAAAATTTTATTTAGAAATTCCAATGTATATTGTTTTTCTAAAAAGATAATATTCTTTTCCATTAATTCCATAAGTATTTAGTAACTGGGTGCTAAGTATGTTTTAGGTTCTAGGGACACAGTTCTTGCTCTCAAGGAGCTCACAGTGTAATGGGAGAAAAGGAGTAAACAGATCTTTGCAATCAACTGAGAAAGATGTGTCCTGGGGTAGCTGCCCCTGGGGGCCCTACATGGATCAAGCAGTCATTGCGTAGTTTTGGAGCCAGTGAGGGACAGATATATTCTTTCCTCTGGGTCAGGAAAGTCTTCCCAGAGGAAGTGTAAGGGTAGTCTTAACCCCTGTGAGAATACAGAGGGAAAGCAGGGGGTGAGGAAGGTGAAGGGGGAAGAGAATATGCAAAGCCCAAAAGAACGGTTGGAGGAGAGGTGTGTGTGCATGCATGTGTGCATGTGTGTGCACATTTGTGTGCACACGTGCGTGGGAGCGTGCGTGTATAGGCATGTGTGCATGCGTGTGAATGTGCGTGCGCATGTGTTGGTAGGGGAGGATATCTCCTGACATGGGACTGGGGAGGGAAGCATGGGCCTGGATTGCTGCAGTTCCAATTCAATCCCGAGGGCACTAGTTGGACGTGGAGGATTTAAGCCGGGGCAAAACAGGGTTGAATTTTATTTATTTATTTATTTATTATTATGTTCAGTTAGCCAACATATAGTACATCATCAGTTTTCGATGTTGTGTTCAACAATTCATTAGTTGCGTGTAACACCCGGTGCTCAGAAATGCCTTTCTGGCAGATTTCCTTGTCATGGAAAGTACGATACAGACACCTCCAGGATCTGGCTGCCCCCCTCCTCCGCCCTGTGACCCAGGCGGGGAAGTAAACACCCCCTGTAGATGGAAGTATCTCTGACGGTGGGTGTGGCCAGTATTATTTCCTGGCGGGAAAAGCTTTTCCACCTAGATGAAACCCCAAATTCCTCTTGGAGGATCACTCTATTAGCTCAAAAATTATACTCCCTCTTTAAGGCTAATTCCTTCATGTAAACCAAAGTTTTTGTCACTTTTTTGTTCTTCAATGTGAAACAATCTCAGATTCTTTTTTGCTGAGTTGATAGATCCTGTTTTGCTGCTTTAATCCTCCTTTGTCCTGGCCAAAGGACAGTGGTGATGTGGGCTGGGATGGAGATTGGAGGTCTGGGATTGGAGAGGGAAGGTTGATGATAAGGCTGGAGGCCACCAAGTCAAGAGATGAGTTCCCAAAGGTGCTAGTGGTGTAGGGGAGCCATGGAACTAATCTTCTGGAACACTGGATCCTGGCTCCCAAAGTTTGGTCCCACACCAGCAGTGGCAGCCTGTCCCAGGAATTTGCTGGACATGCACGATTTTGGCTCCTCCCCCTCTTCAATGGGAACCTCCAGGGTCGGGTCCAGCAATGGTGCTCACCACCCTGGAGTTTAAAGGGGGCACCTATGAGGATTCACGTGAAAATCCAAGTCTAGTCTCTTCTCCTTCCTGTCCCTTCACGCTCCCTGGCCACAAAGATAAAACCACATGAAAATCAGGTGTTTCAGACACCTCTGAATGGCTGCACTAAAGGAGGTGCTGTTTAAAAGCGCCATATTCCTAAAAAAGAAGAGGAAAAGTTACTGAGTCCCAGTGATGTCCCAGCTACTTTCGAGGCACAGTAAATATGAAGATGAGCTCTGGCCCTGCCATGGAGGCCTGCCCAAGCCTGTGCGTGTGCGTGTTGGGAAGGAGAGAGGATGGAAAGTGAGGAAGACTTTTTTGGAAATGAGCAATCAGTTAGAGACTATATGTCAGATCGTGGGAAGGTGTGTCCTTGTCAAAGGACCAGCCTGGAGAAAGCTTCCCTCATCAGCGCCTGATCCTTAGAGACAGAAGGGCATTGCAGGCCCCCAAGGAGCTTGGAGCTGGCTTTTTCTGGTGGCTTCACTGTGATGGGAAAAGGGGCATCTGCCTCCTGGTTACTCTCCATCTTAGTGAAAGTGCTACAAGGCATCCAACTCCATTCCCTGGGTGTCTTTCAAGGATTTCTCTGAGGGTGCTGTCCAGTTTGCTGCTTCCTGACCCTCCCACCCACTCTAAGGAGCAGCCAGTCCTACCCAGACTTTCCTCAGGCCAGGCTCATGCCTGGCAAACCTCTTTCTCCTGCTGAACATTCATCGTGCTTGTGCTGCAAACAATGAACGTGGTCCTTAGGAGGTTTCCAAAGAAGTATGAGATACGTACCCTCACATATGTACGACCTGGTTAAGGACATGAGACCTGGACCAAACAACATAATAACAATAGTATAGACCACAGATGATCGATGGAAGAATCGCAGGATCCTTCAATGCTCTAGGAGGCTGGGGGCCGGCAGGCTGTGAGTGAGTCTGTGTGCTGCTCCCGTACAGCCTAGGCTAAGAATGTTTTTCCATTTTAAAATGGCCAAAAAACTGAAAGAAAAAAAAATAAGAAAATGTGAACATTATATGAAATTCAAATTTCAGTGTTTATAAAGAAAGACTTATTGGAGAACACCCACATTCATTTGGTTATATCTTGTCGACGGTCGATTTCTCGCTGCCAGGCAGAACTGAGTAATTGGGACAAAGACCACACAGCCTGCAAAGCCTAACACGCTTCCTTGGGTACAAAAAATCAGTCCCTAAAACAGGGCAGTGGGGCCAACAGGCACAACCATCACCAACAACGTCCCTCCCACTTCTCAGCTTCTCCCTTTCCCCACCTCCCAGCACTTTCAAGAAACCTTAGGGCTCCCGGCTGGAAAACGTGGTCGCTATGGTCATTCAGAGCAGGTAGAGATTGTCTGGGGCCGTTAGAGTTCTCTAGAAAAAATGAGCATCCAGCTGGGCTTTAAACACTGGGTAACATTAAGAAAGAATATCTAAGTATAGTTTTCAAAAAAGTTAAAACCGTGACTCATAAAAGATCTATTCAATTAACTGATGAGAGAATGAGCAGGATGGTGAAACTAGTCCGAAACCTATTTGAGAAATGAAGTGTGCACAGGCATCTGAAAGAGGAATGCTAGAGTAAGTTTAGGCCAGCTACAAACCTGGGTAATACCTATAAGACAGTAAAACCACAACCACTGGGGTTATCTTTTCTACCAGACAGAAATCACTGATATTGCTGATAGGCAAAAATTATCAATTAACATGAGGGTTCACTAAGTCTAGACTTGTAATCAATAGTGAGCAACAAGCCAAACAAAAGTGCATTCTCCTACATGATTGGATAAGCCTTGGGCGGGCCAGTCACACGGTGCTCTGACAGGACATTTAAAGGACAGGCTGTCCTCTCTTTGCCTGAGGCACAGGTTTTGTCTTTTTCTTCACAAAGGTAGAGAAGAGTATCCCTTTAAGGTTTTGTTCCCAGAAAATGTTGGGAGGTGAGAATGTGCATGGGTTCTGGGGCCTGTTTTGGGAGCTGGCTCCTCAAGAGCTGGGCATGGGGCAAGGCTCCAGTCCCGCCTTCCTTGGCTTGGTCAGGCTTCCAACTTACGCTACGCATGTGACCTTCTCAACCAAAAGTCCCCCACCTTCTAAGGGAAATATTAAGTTTCCCTTTACCCTCTGAAAAGCATTTAAGGATGGAATGTCCAAAAAAAAACCCTAAACAATGAAAGAAATGACAACGTGAATTCATTTTTGCCCATGTGATCAATAAGATAATGACATCTTCTTATTGTTTTGACTTGCATTTTGCTGGCTACTAGACATCTGTAGATACATGCTTTCCTCTGCATTTCCTGTTCATATCTTTAGTTTTCATATTTCCTTTTTTTTATTGAGTTACTTTCTTTCGTCTTACAAATCTGTAACAGCTCTTTTATATTTACAAAGGAAATGACTCTTTATCTATTATATTCACAGCAAATATTTTCTCCAGGTTGTCATTTTGGCTCAGTTTATGGTGTCTTTTAACATTCCAAACATTTGAAAAAAAATTTCCTATGTGATAATATCTGCCCATCTTTCTCTTTTGGCTTATAGATTTCCTACATTGGTTAAGCATGTCTCCCATAGTCTTAAAGTGATCGGTATAGTCTCATAAATTATCTTCTCACATCTTTCAACTTTTCTTTCTTACACATGGGTCTTTAATCGATCCCAAATTTAATCTATATGTAGTGTGACTAGGAAGCTAGCATTTTTCTTCTCATGGCCAGCTGTCCCAGAACTGCTTCTCAAATTCACCATCAAGTCCCCAATAGAATTAAAATGCTGGGCGCCTGGGTGGCTCAGTTGGTTAAGCGACTGCCTTCGGCTTAGATCATGATCCTGGAGTTCCGGGATCAAGTCCCGCATCGGGCTCCCCGCTCAGCGGGGAGTCTGCTTCTCCCTCTGACCCTCCCTCCTCTAATGTGCTCTCTCTCTAATTCTCTCTCTCAAATAAATAAATAAAATCTTTTAAAAAAAAAGAATTAAAATGCTACCTTTGTCCTACAGCAAGTTCTCCCGTATACTTGACTCTTCTTAACTTTCATTCTCGTTATAGATTAATTCCTAGTCTCTTGTTAAAATACCTGTTTTGAATGCAGACCAGAGTGTCTCCGGGTTCCTCGAACACATGACTGAGCTCCTCGCTGCCGTCTAGACGGGTCTCTGAGAACCAGCCACAGTGTTCCCAGAACTCTGGGACATGCCACACAGCTGTGCAGCTGCCAGTCACAACCAGGCCACCGTGGTTTTCCTCCACACGTGCATCCTGAAGTGGGCTCCTTCTGCAGGCTAATCCTTTCTAAGCAGAATTCAGTTAATGAGCAACATGTTTGAAGGAAAGTAGATCTAACACCAAAATCTGGTTTGTGGCTACCAGAGGCCACTATTTCCCTGTGAAAACTGAGCCAGTTCACGTTCCTTCAACATGGAGAACCTGCGATGTCACAGCTCCATTCCGGACAGTAAACACAACAGACAAAACTCCTTCCATTCCAGGGCCGAGCTGCAAGAGACGGTGACATATGTGCTGAAGAGTGCAAATCTTCGGACACAGCGCAGGTAACTTCTACCCACCACCCACATCAGGAGAGAGTATGTCCAGCTCCCCGGGCTCCAAATAGAACTACTCCCTCCCTCCCTCCAACTGTAACTACTATCTGATGACTATCAGTAAATATTTGTTTTGCCAGTTCCTGAACTTTATATAAATAGAATCCTAATATATACTATCTTGTGTCTGACTTCCTTCCCTCATGTTGTTGAATCCAGCTGAAATGTACTCTTTGTGTGGCATCCCATGTTATGAAAATGCCACCATTTTTCTAACCACTCGATATTTCATTATTTCCAGTTTGGGGATATTGGGAATAAAGTTGGTATGAACATTCTTATAAATGTGTATGGGTGATCATATTATTCATTTCATTTCTCTGAACTCAGGAATGGATTTGGCTGGTTCAATTATACATATAGTATATTTATATATATATATAGTAAATTATATATATATGTGATACAATATTATATATTGTACATATCATATATGTGTGTGTATATATATATACACATATATGGTGTCTGTTATATAATATGGTGTCTTAGTTTCTTTCATCATTCTGAACACCAAAAATTTTGTGTGTATGAGGGTATCTGTCATCCTTTCTCTTTTGGCTTTTAGACTTCCTGTGTTGTTTATTAATCGCTCTATATGTTTTTAATATAATATATAAATATATGCATATATATTTATATACTATATATATGACAAATAATTCATATACAGAGTATATTAAAAAAAACTACTGGTCGGGGCGCCTGGGTGGCTCAGATGGTTAAGTGTCTGCCTTCGGCTCAGGTCATGATCCCAGGGTCCTGGGATCGAGTCCCGCATCAGGCTCCCTGCTCCTTGGGAGACTGCTTCTCCCTCTGATTCTCTCTCTCTCTCTCTCTCTCTCCCTCTGTCTCTCATGAATAAATAAATAAAATCTTTAAAAAAAAACAAAAACTACTGGTCAATAAGACAATGATAGATAATTCAATTTTTAAAAAGATAGGCAAAAAACTAGGACACTTCACAAAATAGAGACTACTTAAATGGTCAATACACATATGAAAACATATAATTGGGAAATGCACATTAAAATCACAGTGAAGGGGCACTTGGGTGACTCAGTTGGTTAAGCGTCTGCCTTCAGCTCAGGTCATGATCTCAGGGTCCTGAGATCAAGTCCCACATCAGGCTCCCTGCTCAGTGGGGTCTGCTTCTCCCTCTCCCTCTGCCGCTCCCCTTGCTTGTGTGCTCTCTCTCTCAAATAAATAAAATCTTTTAAATAAATAAATAAAATCACAGTCAAATACCACCACTCTAAGTTACCAGAATGGCTAAGATTAAAATGACCCAACATACTTCCCAAAGCAATCTACAGATTTAATGCAATCCTTATCACGATACCAACAGCATTTTTCAGAGCTGGAACAAACAATTCTAAAAATTTATTTGGAACCAAAAAAGGCTTCAGATAGCCAAAGCAGTCTTGAAAAAGAAAAACAAAACTGGAGACATCACAATCCCAGATTTCACGTTATATTACAAAGCGGTAGTAAATAAAACAGTACGGTACTGGCACAACACAGACACATGAGTCAATGGAATAGAACAGAAACATGGAAATAAACCCACAATTATATGGTCAATTAATCTCCGACAAAGCAGGAAAGAATATACAATGAGAAAAGACAGCCCCTTCAACACATGGTGCTGGGAAAACACGGATGAGGAAGTCAAGATTGCACAGCATAGGCTGGGACCAGAAGCTACCTCCAAGAGATACGAGAACTAGAGAGGCAAGAGGAAAGAGAACGCAGGACTGCGGGCCTCAGCCTTGTAGAGGAGAGTGGACAGAGTAAGGTACGAGCAGATGAGACTCCCTCCACCCAGGCTCCGCTCTCATGTGATTCTTGAGCTCCCAGTTGGCCAAGGAGAAAGCTTTGAGAGCATGACAATGGTTATAAACATGCAATTAAAGAAGCCAACATTTATTGAAAGTCTAGTTCATGTTGGGCACTGCTAGGCTCTATCAACCATGAGCAACAGAAATGAGCCATGTAATCAGATTGGGGAGAGAAGCGTAAAGTTTCAAAACAATCCAGTCTAGTCAGCATTTCAAGTGTCTTGAATGTTGATTGGAATGGACACAAATTATGCATAATCAGCCAATTAAGATTATTGGGTGAAAAGAACCAATGAGAATTCTTGTTTGGGTAACGACACTCCGAAAATGGAAAGCTCTCATTTGTCCAGCTTGTGGGGAGCTCACCTCACGTGTGCTGGATTATTCTTACCCCTTTCTACAGGTGGGAGTAACAAGCTCAGACTAAGACCATACAGCTCCTAACTGGCAAAGTCAAGGTTCAAAAACAGGTTCTGACTCGAAGGCTGAGTTTTCTTCACTATTTTGACAGTGGACTGTCCAAGAAGGAAATTTTACTCATTTATTCGGAGAAATGTTAACAAGTTTCTACTACATATCAGACATTTGTTCAGGCACCAAGGATGCAGTGATATATGTAGGATGCAACTTACTTTTTATTTAGAAATGGCAATCTCTGCATGATGACTTCCTCACTGTCCTGAAAAATAGAGTCTGGCTGGAATCAATCTTGAGAAGAGAAAGAAATAAACAGTAAAAGTAAGCATAGCCCATATATCAGAAAATTTTATCCATGCAATGCTATTTCTAAGTGGAATTTAATGGTAGATATATAAACTGTTGAGTACTGAAGGAAAGTATCTAGGAGCAGTTTAGGCCATACTGTGGGTTTAAAAAAATTTTTATTACATTAATTTTTTATGAATTTATTTTTAGTCAGCTTTGTTGATATATAATGTACATACAGTTAGATGTATATTCTGGTGAGTTGGGCAAACGTATACAAACCACCACCACAATGAGGATATAAACCGTCTGTGTGGTAATGTCAGCAAGATGGCACAATGGGGATCCTTTCCCATCTAAAGACACTGATTCAATAATACATGGAACCATTCTGTTTGTGAGAAATCCAAAAACCAGTTAAATGGCTCCTGCATCCCAGGTGAGTACAAAATTAGCCTGACCAGAGCCAGTAGCAAAATTCATGGCATGGACTCACCATTAGCAGCTCCCCCTGGATCAGGACCGTGGGTAAGGAGAAAATTCCCAGCTCCCAGCTTCTCTCTAGGGAGAAAAAGAGAAGACTGGATATTATATCCAGTGTTCAGGCTTTTCAGGGAGCTGCCCAAGGAACTGGTTTCTGTCTTGTTCTACTCTAGGTGCTGACGGGAAATGGCATGAGTTGGAGGGCCACTGAGAACAAAGGGTATGGTTTGGAGCACTCGCTCACCATACTGCCTCCCTCTGGCTCAGTGCAGTGAGTGGAAGAAAAACCCCAACTCCTGGCTTCACTCTGGGGAGTGTCTGATCTTCCAGCTTTTCAAGGGGCTTCCCAAAGGACCGACTTCTGTCTCACCTGTCTCAGAGAACAGACAGGACCCAGTGGCATAGACATATAGGAGCCTTGCTGCTGAGCTGTTGCTTCAGAAAACCCATGGTAGAACGGACAGAGGTTCCCTTCTTGGGAGAAAGAGAAGAGTGGAGTTTAAGTCCAATGTTCTGACTTTTCAGGGTTCTGCCCACAGGACTACTGTTTGTCTCGCCTGACACAGTGGGACTTGGAATACTTTAGAAGCCTTGGCAGTGCCAGAAACAAAAAGGGCTGGCTCAAGAGCTCCTGCATTACTGCAGACAGATGCCCAAAGAAGCAAAAGATTGAGAGCTCCTGAAAAAAGAAGCTGGCAGATGCATCTAATTCAGAATTTACATGTCCAATCCCAGAGAAGACACATCAGAAGAAATGTTTGAGAGGTGTATAGGTTGAAATAGAAGGGTGCTAGAAACAGCACCAAAGCATTTGATGGAAAGCTCATTCATAAGGGCAAATATACAGACACACACAGAATACTGAAATACCGTAAGAGTGGTGTGTAAATCACTTCTAATGCTGTTAGACAAGTTAAAAACAAAAGTGTAAAAATAACTATAAAAATATGTTAATGAGTATGCAATACAGTAAGATGTAATTTGTGACATAATAACGGAGAGTGGGGGGCAGATATAAAAATGTAGTTGTGGTATGTATGCAGCTGAAATTAAGTTATTATCAGCTTGAAGCCAGTTGTTACAACTATAAGATGTTTTATGTCAGCCCCATGATAATCACAAAGAAAGTACCCCACAAAGATACACAAAAGACAATGAGAACAGGATGAAAACATGCCATGCACACACACAAAATCAACGAAACACCAAGGAAGGCAGCAAGAGAGGGACCGAAGCGCTACAGGACAGAGGAGAGCGACGACCAAGAAGGCAATGGCATGTCCTTCTCTACATAATTACTGTAAATGAACATGGATGGAACTCCCCAACCAAAGACACAGAGTGACTGAAAGGATCAAAACACAAGATCCAACTGCACACTGTCCACAAGAGACTCATTGTAGATTTAAGGACATGCAGAGGCTGAAAGTGAAGGATGGAAAAAGATATCCCGGGCAAACAACAACCTAAAGAGAGTTGAGGTGGCCATACTTGTCTCAGAAACGAAGAGACTGTAAGTAAAAAGTTGACACAGAAGACAAAGAAGGACATCCTACAATGGCAAAGACCCAACAGTTGTAAGTACATATGCACCCAACATTGACGCCTGCATATTGGAAGCAAACGTTGCCAGAAGGGACTGGGGAAAGAGACCACAACACAGGAGATTTCTATCCACCGCCTCCAGTGATACGAAAACTGAGTTTCCACACACAAAAGAAGGAAACTGGAAAGTTACCGTGCACTGTACGCAAAAACCAACTCAAAATGGATTAGACCTAAGTGTAAGAAAGCTCAGAGGACAAGCTTCAGAACATGGGTCTTGGCAATGATTTATTGGATCTGACACCAACAACACAGGCAACAAAAGCAAAAAAAAAAAAAAAATAGACAAGTAGGATTGTATCAAACTAGCACACTTCTGCATAGCACAGGGAACAGCTAATAGAGTGACAAGGCAACATACAGAATGGGAGAAAATATTTGTAAACCATATGTCTGAGAAGGGGTGAATATCCAAAGTATACATAATGAACTCCAACAACTCAATAGTAATAAATAAATTTTAGAAACCTAATAACCCATTTGAAAATGGGAAAAGAACTTGAATAAATATTCTCCAAAGAAGACATACAGATGACCAACAGATACTTGAGAAGATGCTCATTAATCATCAATGAGTAATCACCAGTGAAATGCAAATCAAAACGATAATAAAACATCACATCACACCTGTTAGGATGATCATTATTTTGAAAAAACAATATAAGTGTTGGTGAGGATGTGAGGGTTAGAAGCGTGGTGTACCATTGGTGAGAATATAAAATGACGGAGCCACTGTGGAAAACAGTACAGATGTTCCTCGAAAAATTAAAAATAGGACTACCTCATGATCCTGCAATGCCAATTCTGGATATTTATCCAAAAGAATTGAAAGCAGGATCGTGGAGAGATAATTGCGCTCCCATGTTCACGGCAGCATTATTCACTAGAGTCAAGAGGCGGAGAATGACTAGACAAAGAAAATGTGGTATATGCAAACAGTGGGAGAGTATTTGGCCTTAAAAAGAAGATCCTGTCATACACAACAACATGAATGAAACTTGAGGCCGGCATGCTATGCGAAAAAAGCCAGTCACAGAAAAACAAATGCGTGTGACTCCACTTACATGAGGCAGTGAAAATAATCAAACTCCCAGAAGCAGAACGTACCAGGGTGGTTTCCAGGGGGAAATACAGTTGCTGTTCAGTGGTGGGTTTCAGTCATGCAAGATGAAGAAGTTCGAGAGACCTGCCTACAACAATGTGGATACAGTTAACAGAATTGTACTGCACCCCTAAAACATTTGTTGAAAGTGTAGATCGTGTGTTATGTTTTTTCCTATAATAAAAACAATGGGGAAAAAATAAAGTCCTCCCACTTTGGAACATTTTTGTCTTTAGAAACACTAATTACCACAGCAAAATTTTTGTTTTTCCCTGGGGTACAGGATCTATCCATTCTATCCAGAGTATTTCAACCCCTCACTCCTGGTGTGACATACAACACAAATCCCCATTTTGAAACTTCATGCAACAACCAAGCATCGCTTCAAAAGTCTGGGCCATACTGACCTCCAATAAACACAATGTAGTGGGGAAAAAAAAGATATAAACCATCTCCATTACCTCAAAAAATTCCTTTGAACTTCTGCATTAACCTCTTTCTCCCACTCTCAGTTCCTGGGAAGCAGTGATCTGATTTTTGTCATGTGCTTTTTCGTCTTTTCTAGAAAGGCATAGAAACGATTCATGCAGCATGTAAACTTTTGTGACTGCCTCCTTTCACTTGCTATGTTTTTAAGATGTACCCATGTTGTCACCTGTATCAAAAGTGGTTTGTTTTTGTTTTTTTGCTGGGTAGGATTCTGATTTGTTTTGCATTTTTTCAAGAATGTGGTTGCAATTGCATCTGCATAGTGATGTCCCAAAGACACATGACTCTGCTCAGCACCTGAGCACCGGAAGCCGTCCTGAGTCACCGGCGGGTTCGCAGGGAAGTCAATATCCAAAGTCAGGCATACTTTGCTGAGCGACTCTGCTTCCATGCTTCTGCGCACTCTTCCTTGAGAGCCTGTGGCCAACTGCGTGGGTTCTCCTTCAGTCCAGCTTCTCCCTTCCCAAAGTCATTTAGTGAGCTCTTGCTCCCTTGGTGGAGCAGGGAATCAAAGCACGTTGTAAACCTCTCATCCAGGTCACTGGTTTTCAACCCTGCCTGAGCAGGAGGAACGCTACTATTAGAATCATAAAACACGTCCACATGCCAATCCCCACCCCTCACCTTGACATTAGAAGCTCCAGACTGGGGCTAGAGGGTAGGCATCTTAAACATGGTGACTGGTTCCAGTGAATCACCAGAGCTGAGAAGCCCCTGTTTGAAGCTCTTCTTGATTCTGAGAACTTGAACTCTCTAGTGTACAAGACTTCATCTTTTCTCACCTGTCTCTTCCTCTTTCCCCAAGATAAGACAAAGACTTGGGGACAGTTGTCTGTGGAGAAGCCCGTGCCTTCCACATCTGCGCTCTGCAATACTGGCTGAAGGGATTCCGGAACCACAACTCCGAAGGGCCCCAGGGCGCCATCACCCAGGCCTGCTGCCTCCACTGAGCGGAAAGGCCAGTAGGGAGCCAGTGCCAAGCATGAGGAGAGACTGAGGCTGACTTCCTGGCTTACTCTTGAGCCCGGCACTGCACTCAGGTGCCGCATCACCTTATGAAGCAGGCTAGGTCTGTGTGCCCAACTGCCACACTGAAAAATGGCCAGCCTCCTATTTGGGCCAGCTTGACCAGGGGGCTGTAGAAGCTCTGTAACTAACCTTATGTATGAATTTTACAAAAATAGTCACGAAAAGTGCCCCAAACTGTTGTGTCATGATAAGGAATTAATCTATTGTCTACATATAGACATGGCTTTTTTCCCCTCCCTGTCTTAATTTTATGGTGACTATTACTGGCCATTGTAGAGGAAATGAAGTCATTCCCGTACACATGAGGCATTGCTGATACCAGAGCAAATTTACAGAGAAATAGCAGACCACACCTTCCTAAATAATCTGAAAAACTCTATATCTGGTATTGAAGTTTGAAGAGTTCTTATTTTTCCTTCCTCTTTTGCAGAAGACTCAGAATGATTTAATTTAGACTCTTACACCTTTCCTTAGCTGGCGTGGTTTAGGTGGAAATGAAAAATATTGCATACGTGACTTAAAAAAATTAGTGCAAGAGCAGCCTTCAGCAGGATGAGGGAAACAGCACATACTGGGCTGGGAGCTCTGCACGCCTCCACTCACAGCCTCTGCAGAGCCAGTGACCAGAGAGGTTTTCTCAGCCATGCTTCTGTGGACAACTGACCCGCCATCATGGCCGCAGGTGTATTTCACAGAGGGGTACCTCACCCAAAGCACTCATTGGCTGGCAGATGGGCTCGGGACATGCGCACGAAAGGTCTGCCTACAGAGGGGCTCCACACTGAGCAGTGATGGGCCAACCAGGTGGGTCCTCTCTCTGAGGGCCCTTGAACACAAGCAGTTTGGTTGGTCAGTGCAGGCAAAAGGAAAATCAATATAACCCCATGTTGGAAGATGAGTCACTCCTTGAATAGAAAGTTAGAGGGAGTGAGGATGCCCACTTCCAAGGAGTCAATTAGCACAGGAGTCTTTGACCAGGAAGCAAGATTGTGTGCAGGGTTAACCTGAAATATTATTGGAGAGCCATGGGGCAGGATCCAACTGGAGACCCAGATACTCCATGTCTAAATAGTTAGACGTTATCAATCAGATCATGCCCATGGCTCCACTCTTACTCCCAGCCAACAACCTGCAGCAGATGAGGGATCACAGACCGAAGGGCAAAGAAGCCGAAGACTCCCGCCTCTCCGTGCACAGTCTCCATGCCCTCAAGTCCCCCAGCCGCCTGTAGGCATGAATGGTAGTGTGGGTCTGCTAAGCCAAGGTGGAAGCTGGTCTCTGGCCAGAGCTCTGTGGCCTGACTGGCCCTGTCCGAACGTAGGATCAGGACACATCAGGTCAAGCACTCAGGTGACCACCTCAGTGCATCCCTTTTCTGACACAAGATTTCTAGGTAGTTGTAAGCATCTTCCCAGACTGCATGACCCCAGCAGAGAGGACCAAAGAAGGAAAGATACCAGGGAAGCCTCATCTGCCGAGACACACACATCACAGGGGAGACTCCTCCTTGCCTAAGCCCCCCACCACTCACAGGTACATATCACCATGCCGAAGCCCAGCCTCTACAGACATGGAGGGCCAATTCACCCTGTACATTCTTCTCCCACGTGCTGCTCACTGAAGGGGCTAAGAAATTTTCAGAACACCTTCTTGAGATGCCAAATAGAAAAAATAGCTTCTCTATGTCAGGGTTTTTGATATGCAAGACTCTCTAAAGTATGGGGCCCATGTTGGGGTCTTTTCTGTCCTGCTCTAAAGGTGGCATGGGTCATGTGCCCACAGAGCTTCTGGCCTTCCCTCCTGCCCACAGCATCCTCACCATGAGCTCCCACCATGGAGTAACCCCAGGCTGTTTTAACCCTGTGCTTGAAAGAACTTAACTACAGCACGCTAAACCATGATAAGTGAGACCAATCATTTCCCCTCTTTCCTGCTCAATGTGTGTATATATATATATATAATATGTGTGTGTATATATAATATGTGTATATAATATGTGTGTGTATATATAATATGTGTATATATGTGTGTGTGTATACATACATGTATCTATAAGCATAAATACATCTAGAGCTTTCATTTCCCTTCCATGAACCAAGCTTACAGTCTTAGCAGAGAATACAGAATAGAAACAGGCAATTATAATGAACAAAGGAGGGTCATGCCCCTGACCCAGACCTAAGGTCAGGGGAAGCTCCCAGGTGAAGTGACATTTAAAATGAGACTTGAGAGGAGGAGGAGCAAGATGGCAGAGGAGTAGGAGACCTAAATTTTATCTGGTGCCAGGAATTCGGCTGGATAGGGATCAAACCATTCTGAACACCCACGAACTCAACAGGAGATCGAAGAAAAGAATAGCGGCAACTCTCTGAACAGAAAAGCAACCACTTACCGGAAGGTAGGACGTGCGGAGAAGTGAATCCGAGGCAATATTTGGGAGGATAGACGGCGGGGGAGGGGCCTCCGTCGGCCGCTTCTGTCAAGTGCTAGAGCCGCGGAGCACAAGATCGGACCTTTTAGAAGTCGGCTCCGCTGAGGAACGTCGCTGCAGTGGCTAAGCAGGGGTGGAACCCTCCTGGGACAGTGTGGTCTCAGGACCCTCAGGGTCACAGAAAGATGGGGGGTGCCTGAGTGCGGCAGAGCTCCCAGGGATCGGAGCGGGGAAGCCGGCTGCAGAGACAGAGTTGAGCGGGCTCTCAGCTCAGGGTTGCCCTAAACCCTGATCTGCGGTGCAGTCTGGCAACTGCTTCTCCAGCAGGGATCCAACAAGCAGCAGATCCGAGGAGACTCACCTTTCTGCCTGCAGGGATCTGCTGGCTTTGGAGAATCCACACGGGATCGTGCACCCGAGATAGAAATGCTCAGTCATAGGCCGGGTGAGCACGGAGTGCGTCCGGAGACCAGGAAGACGGGAGTGACTGACTACTTTTCTCTGGGGGCTCACTGAGGAGCGGGGCTCCGAGTTCTCAGCTCCTCGGGGCGGAGATTGGGAGGCCGCCATTTTCACTCTCATCCTCCAAAGCCCAATGGAAAACTTGCAGGGAACAAAGGCTCCTGAGAGCAAACCCGAGCAGCTTACTTAGCCTGGACCTACAAGGGCGGGGCAATTCCACCTCCAGCAAAGACATTTGGGAACCACGGCCACAGGCCCCTCCCCCAAAAGATCAACAAGAACAGCCAGCCAAGACCAAGTTTACCGATCAAGGAGAACAGGAGAACTCCAGCGCTAGGGGAATACTGCACATAGAATTCATGGCTTTTTCCCCATGATTCTTTAGTCTTTCAAAGTTAATTTTTAAAATTTTCTTTATTTTTTTTTCTTTTTCTATTTTTTTTGAATTTTTCTTTTTCCCTTTTTCAACCAACATCTTATCAATCCCTTTTTTAAAAATCTTTTTTATTTTTCATTTTTAGAGTCATATTCTATCCCTTCATTGTAGTTAACCTGATTCTGGTATATATATAAGTTGTTCTCTCTTTAAAATTTTGGGATACAGTTTCTTCTAACAGACCAAAATATACCCTAAATCTCTAGTGTATGACTTTGTTCTAGTCTCCTGCCTGATCACATTCTCCATCCCCCCCTTTATTTGTTCTTTTTAAATTTCTCTTCTTTCTTTGTTTCAACCAACTTCTTATCAATTCCTTTTATAAAATCTTTCATAATTTTCATCTTTACAGTCATATTCTATCCCTTCATTGTACTTACTCTTATTTTTGTACATATATAAGTTTTTCTTTCTTTCAAATTTTGGGAGACAGCTTCTTATAACAGACCAAAATACACCCAAAATCTAGTGTGTGGCACTGATCTATTCATCAGCCTGATCATATTTGATCATATTCTTTTTTTTTCTTTTTTTCTTTCTTTCCCTTTCTTTTCCCCCTGGTTTTGGGTCTCTTCTGATTTGTTTACTGTATGTTTTTCTGGGGTCATTGTTACCCTGTTAGCATTTTGTTCTCTCACTTATCTATTTTCCTGTGGACAAAATGACAAGACAGAAAAACTCACCTCAAATAAAAGAACAAGAGGCTGTACCGACTGCCAGGGACCTAAACAATACGGACATCAGTAAGATATCGGAACTAGAGTTCAGAATGACGATTATAAAGATACTAGCTGGACTTGAAAAAAGCATGGAAGATAATAGAGAATCCCTTTCTGGAGAAATGAACTAAAATCTAACCAAGTCGAAATAAAAAAGGCTATTAATGAGGGGCAATAAAAAATGAAGGCTCTAACTGCTAGGACAAATGAGGCAGAAGAGAGAATTAGTGATATAGAAGAACAAATCATGGAGAATAAAGAAGCTGAGAAAAAGAGAGATAAACAACTACTGGGTCATGAGGGCAGAATTCGAGAGGTAAGTGATACCATAAGATGAAACATTAGAATAATTGGGATCCCAGAAGAAGAAGAAAGAGAGACAGAGGGGCAGAAGGTATATTGGAGCAAATTACAGCAGAGAATTTCCCTAATTTTGGGGGAAAAAACAAGCATCAAAATCCAGGAGGCACAGAGGACCCCCCCTCAAAATCAATAAAAATAGGTCAACACCCCGACATCTAATAGTAAAACTTACAAGTCTCAGAGACAAAGAGAAAATCCTGAAAGCAGCTCAGGACAAGATATCGGTAACCTACAATGGTGGAAACATTAGATTGGCAGCAGACCTATCCACAGAGACCTGGCAGGCCAGAAAGGACTGGCATGATATATTCAGAGCACCAAATGAGAAAAATATGCAGCCAAAAACACTATATCCAGGTAGCCTGTCATTGAAAATAGGAGAGATAAAAAGCTTCCAGGACAAAAACTAAAAGAATTTGCAAACACGAAACCAGCCCTACAAGAGATATTGAAAGGGGTTCTCTAAGCAAAGAGAGAGCCTAAAAGTAACATAGACCAGAAAGGAATAGAGACAATATACAGTAACAGTAACCTTACAGTCAATACAATGGCACTAAATTCATATCTTTCAATAGTTACCCTGAATGTAAATGGGCTAAATGCCCCAATCAAAAGACCGAGGGTATCAGATTGGATAAAAAAAAAACAAAACAAAACCCATCGATATGCTGTCTGCAAGAGACTCATTTTGGACCCAAGGACACCTCCAGATTGAAAGTGAGGGGGTGGAAAACCATTTATCATGCTAATGGACATCAAAAGAAAGTTGGCGTGGCAATCCTTATATCAGACAAATTAGATTTTAAACCAAAGACCATAAGAGATGAGGAAGGACACTACATCTTACTTAAAGGGTCTATCCAACAAGAAGATCTAACAACTGTAAATATCTATGCCCCTAACATGAGAGCAGCCAATTATACAAGGCAATTAATAACAAAATCAAAGAAACACATTGACAGCAATACAATAATAGTAGGGCACTTTAACTGAAATGGACAGATCATCTAAGCAAAAGATCAACAAGGAAATAAAGGCTTTAAATGACACACTGGACCAGATGGATTTCACATATATATTCAGAACATTCCATCCCAAAGCAACAGAATACACATTCTTCTCTAGTGCCCATGGAACATTCTCCAGAATAGATCACATCCTAGGTCACAAATCAGGTCTCAACCAGTACCAAAAGACTGGGATTATTCCCTGCATATTTTCAGACCACAGTGCTTTGAAACTAGAACTCAATCACAAGAGAAAAGTTGGAAAAAACTCAAATACATGGAGGCTAAAGAGCATCCTACTAAAGAATGAATGGGTCAACCAGGAAATTAAAGAATTTAAAAAATTCATGGAAACCAATGAAAATGAAAACACAACTGTTCAAAATCTTTGGGATGCAGCAAAGGCAGTCCTAAGAAGAAAGTATTTAGCAATACAAGCCTTTCTCAAGAAACAAGAAAGGTCTCAAATACACAACCTAACCCTACACCTAAAGGAGCTGATGAAAGAACAGCAAATAAAGCCTAAACCCAACAGGAGAAGAGAAATAATAAAGATCAGAGCAGAAATCAATGAAATAGAAACCAAAAGACAGTAGAATAGATCAACGAAACTAGGAGCTGGTTCTTTGAAAGAATTAACAAGATTGATAAACCCCTGGCCAGACTTATCAAAAAGAAAAGAGAAATGACCCAAATCAACAAAATCATGAATGAAAGAGGAGAGATCACAACCAACACCAAAGAAATACAAACAATTATAAGAACATATTATGAGCAACTCTATGCCAGCAAATTAGATAATCTGGAAGAAATGGATGTATTCCTAGAGATGTATCAACTACCAAAACTGAACCAGGAAGAAATAAAAAACCTGAACAGACCCATAACCACTAAGGAAATTGAAGCAGTAATAAAAAATCTCCCAACAAACAAGAGCCCAGGGCCAGGTGACTTCCCAGGGGAATTCTACCAAACATTTAAGAAGAATTAATACCTATTCTTCTGAAACTGTTCCAAAAAATAGAAATGGAAGGAAAACTTCCAAACTCATTTTATGAGGCCAACATTACCTTGATCCCAAAACCAAAGACCCCATCAAAAAGGAGAATTACAGACCAATATCCCTGATGAACATGGGTGCGAAAATTCTCACCAAATACTAGCTAATAGGATCCAACAGTACATTAAAAGGATTATTCACCACAACCAAGTGGGATTTATCCCTGGCCTGCAAGGTTGGTTCAACATCCGCAAATCAATCAGTGTGATACAATACATTAATAAAAGAAAGAACAAGAATCATATGATCCTCTCAATAGATGCAGGAAAAGCATTTGACAAAGTACAGCATCCTTTCTTGATTAAAACTCTTCAGAGTGTAGGGATAGAGGGCACATACCTCAATATCATAAAAGCCATCTATGAAAAACCCACAAAAAATATCATTCTCAATGAAGAAAAACAGAGAGCTTTGCCCCTAAGGTCAGGAACATGGCAGGGATGTCCACTATCACCCCTGCTATTCAACCTAGTTCTAGAAGTCCTAGCTACAGCAATCAGACAACAAAAAAAAATCAAAGGCATCCAAATAGGCAAAGAAGTCAAACTCTTACTCTTTGCAGATGATATGATACTTTATGTGGAAAACCCAAAAGACTCCACCCCAAAACTGCTAGAACTCATGCAGGAATTCAGTAAAGTGGCAGGATGTAAAATCAATGCACAAAAATCAGTTGCATTTCTATGCACCAACAAGACAAAAGAAAGAGAAATTAAGGAGTCGATCCTATTTACAACTGCACCCAAAACCATAAGATACCTAGGAATAAATCTTACCAAAGAGGCAAAGAATCTGTACTCAGAAAACTATAAAATACTCATGAAAGAAATTGAGGAAGACACAAAGAAATGGAAAAGCATTCCATGCTCATGTGAAACTGTCAATGCTACCTAGAGCAAACTACATATTTAATGCAATCCCTATCAAAATACCATCAACTTTTTTCAAAGAAA